TCAGACTCATTCAAACTCAGACTCGAGCTCATCATACTCATCATACTCGTACTCAGGCTTACACTCAGACCGGCTTACAGCAAGACTAACTCACGATCAGGTTCAACCACCCTCAGGTTCACCCATACTCAGGCTCACTCGTACTCAGACTCGCTCGTACTCGGAATCATATTCATCATACTCGTACTCAGACCCAACTACATTTCGACTCTCTCGCACTCGGACTCACTCACACTCAGACTCACTCGTACCCAGACTTTCTCGCACCTAGACTCAATCACATTCAAGCTCAATCATACCCAGACTCACCCACACTCAGACTCACTCAGAGGTGTTGTTTTTGGTGGTCCAGTACTCCTCCTCTGTTCCACTTGTGCTTCCCTCATCTCCCATGAAGGTTGCCCAGAGAAGGGTGACGTCATGGAAGTCGTCGCTGTCGTCGTCGTCGTGTCTACACCTCGCCCTCACCCATATTCTCACAGACAGTTCCTCAGCGAGACGTGGCAGGAGCACGAGATGCACGGGGGTCTCCGCGTCGAGTACGTACTACAGTGCCGTTTTTGTATACATGGTCCGCGTGCGGATCATGTATTCAACATGCAGGGATTTAGTATTAAAACCAACGTTGAGCTCATGCATAAATTTATTCATGAATTAATCATGCATTAGGAATCCAATATGGTTTAAAATCCTATGTATTAAAACCTGCCCTGTACCCTCGGGGCCATAACGCGCGCTATGCCCCCCCCCTCCCCCCCCATCACGCAACTTCCCCTCCTGGAGCGCCCCCGACACTGCCGCAGCGCGTCTGGCATCACAGTCCGTCGCGGCGGGAGGGCAGGGGCATTATGTTATGCCCCCCTTCCCGCCCACCCCCCTCTCCCCAGAGCGCCCGTGATCTCCGCGAGTGAAAGGGTGCTCTCTTGTTTCCGTGTGTGGAGATCCTCGGGAAGGTAGGGGACAAGGAGGGGGGGCTCAAGTCCGGAAGAATGTGTCTCGATGTCTTATGTGTCCCCCCCTTGGGCCCCTTTTCTCTGCAGCGCTCTTGGTCTCGAAGAGCTCGGCGAGAGGAGGCGGCGGAGGAGGCGGAGGAGGAGGAGGAGGCGGAGGAGGAGGAGGAGGAGGAGGAGGAAGAGGAGGAGGAGGAGGAGGAAGAGGGAGGAGGAGGAGGAGGGGGAGGAGGAGCGAGGAGGAGAGGAGGAGGAGGACTGGCGTCGAGCTCGACGGCCGGGGGCCAGGTCTCGCCCGGAGCTCCTCGCAGCAGTGCCACCATCGAGGGGGGTCGGCGTTTTCTTATTCATTCCCCACATGCTTCGTGGGGTTCTGGTTTTCTTCCCTGCCGCGCCGCGCCCGCGTCTCACACCCGCGCCCTCCTCCCCTCCTCCTCCTCCTCCTCCTCCTCCTCCTCCTCCTCCTCCTCCTCCTCAGCACAGCACAGCAGCACAGCACAGCACAGCAGACCGCAGCACAGCATAGGACAGCACAGCACAGCTCAGCAGAGCACAGCACAGCACGTCTCGGCGACACGCGTCTACATACAGCCGCACGCATGCACACACTCGCACACACAAGACGACACCAGTCCTCCCAGTCGCCCTGGCATAGCAGGCGTGGCACTTTCTCGACACCATAGGGGGTGCGCAGGGGGTGGTCTCTCGCTGCGGTCTCTATACGTCCCAGTCGTCCTGGCATAGCAGGCGTGGCACTTTCTCGACACCATAGGGGGTGCGCAGGGGGTGGTCCCTGAGCGCGGCTGCTATACGCGCCGCTCGTCCAGGCATAGCAGGCGTGGCACTTTCTCGACACCAGAGGAGGTGCGCAGGGGGTGGTCCCCGAGCGCGGCTGCTATACGCGCCGGTCGTCCAGGCATAGCAGGCGTAGCACTTTCTCGACACCAGAGGGGGTGCGCAGGGGGTGGTCCCTGAGCGCGCGGCTGCTATACGCGCCGGTCGTCCAGGCATAGCAGGCGTGGCACTTTCTCGACACCAGAGGGGGTGCGCAGGGGGTGGTCCCTGAGCGCGGCCGCTATGCACGACGGTCGTCCAGGCACAGCAGGCGTGGCACTTTCTCGACACCAGAGGGGGGCGCAGGAGGTGGTCCCTGAGCTCGGCCGCTATGCGCGACGGTCGTCCAGGCATGGCAGCAGGCGTGGCAGCTTTCTCGACACCAGACACCAGGGGGGCGCAGGGGGTGGTCCCTGAGCGCGGCGCTATACGCGCCGGTCGTCCAGGCATAGCAGGCGTGGCACTTTCTCGACACCAGAGGGGGTGCACAGGGGGTGGTCCCTGAGCGCGGCCGCTATGCACGACGGTCGTCCAGGCACAGCAGGCGTGGCACTTTCTCGGCACCAGAGGGGGGCGCAGGAGGTGGTCCCTGAGCTCGGCCGCTATGCACGATGGTCCTCCTCCCTTCTCTCCTCTTCTTCCTCCTCCTCCTCCTTGCCCTCTACCTCCTCTCCAGGAGGCCGACCTGGCTTGTCCGTGCTCGGCCGCCTTAGGTGTCTCGTGCTCGACCGACCTGACTTATTCGACCGCCTTAGGTGTGGCGTCGGGAATCACTGCCGTGCCATGCCTTTCGTCGGCGCCGTGCCGTGCCGTGCCGTGCGCGGCCGTGCAGGAGTTGCGAGGAGTAGGAGTTGAGAGGAGTGCGGAGGAGTTGTGAGGAGGAGGATTTGATAGGAGTGCGGAGGTGTTCAGAGGAGCGCGGAGGAGTTGAGAGGAGTGCGGAGGAGTGCAGAAGGAGGAGTACAGAAGGATATGAGAGGATGAAATGAGAGGAGTGCGGAGGAGTTGAGGGAAGTGCGGAGGAATTGAGAGGAGTGCGGAGGAGTTGACAGGATGGGGTGGGACGAGGAGGAGGAGGACGAGGAGGAGGAGGAGGACGACGACGACCACGAGTGCGGCGACGAATACAACGAGCACTACCAACACAACGAGTACGACGACGTCGAGTGCGACGACGACGAGTGCGACGACGAGTGCGACGAGCACGACGACGAATGCGAAGACGAGTACGACGGCGAGGTACGACGACGAGTACGATGACGAGTAAGACGATAGAGCGGCAACGAGTACGACGACGAGTACGACGAGTACGACAACGAGTACGACAAGTACGACGACGATTCGCGACGAGGGTTTAGAACGCAACATTGCGCATAGATGATAATGACAAGCAAACACATAAGATTAAACATCAGTATGTGGGGTTCCTCGGTAGCGTAATTGTTTTGCCGATCGGCGCGGAGGAGGAGGAGGAAGAGGAGGAGGAGGAGGAGGAAGAGGACGAGGAGGAGGAGGGTGGAGGAGGAGGAGGAGGAGGAGAATCGGAGGTGGATAGACCTCCTACCCTGACACGTCGATTGAGGAATTGGCCGTTTTCGGTTCGCGAGAGGGCATCGCGGCCGCCATTTTTGCGGGTCCAGGTCCGTCGGTTTCGGTCCCAGGCCGTTTTCACTAAGGGGAGGTTTACTAAAGGGAGGTTTGTCCACCGCCGAGAGAAGGGGGAGGCGGAGGGAGAGGGGGAAGGAGGAGGCGTACCCCCCCCCTCCCCCCGCCATGGAGTAGATCTTGGGTGTTTTTGGTGCCTGTTTCGACTGGGTGGAGTCCATCCCCTGCGGCCGCACTCCTGCAGACAGTCGCACTGAGCAGAGGTACGGAGCCGGACCCCCCCCCTTTCCGCCCAATGTCGAAACGCCGAATATGAGAACGCTCACGAGCCAGGAGGCATCTAGGCTTAAGTCGGGCCTGTCCCTCTACAGGAGGAAGATTCAAACATAGTGAGAAAATAGTCAGGGGACTATCGTGTCGCCAACGTTTGCCTATGTTTGAGCATGTTCTAACTATTTCTAGTGTTTCCCTCAAAATCCGCCTGTGGGAGGACATGCCCGACCTAAATCTAGGCCTCCTAGGATGGGGTCCGAACAGATGGGGTCGGAGGGTCGCGCCGTCTCGTCGACACGTCTGCGATGCGGCTGGTTGTGGCGCCCGATGTTCTCCACGCTGGCGTGGCCGATTCATCGGCGACGCATCGCCGATGTGTCGGCGATGCGGCGCGATCCTCCGACCCCATCTACTCAGACCCCGTTTAGGAGGCCTCTAAGGAACGAGGAGGGGGAGGAGAGAATGAAGGCCCCTCCATCATGCCCCCCTTCCCTTTGAGAAGAGGGGGGTAGAGAGGGAGGGAGGGAGGGAGGCAGGCATGGAGGCAGGAGGGGGACGTGTTGCTCTGATCGATATTGGATTGTGCCGTCTTTCTCCGCTGCTCCTGTGGTCTCCCATGCGTTTCCGGTGAGGCTGCGGAGGGAGAGCGCGCGTGTGGTTGTGCGTCCAAAGGTTGCACGTCTCAAGCGACGTTGCACGGGTGAGCATCTCATTGTTGATCGGCAGACTAATAAGAAGAGGGCCAGGAGCAGCGAAGAGCAACACATTGCAGAAACATCAGACTTGCGGATCTTCGCGCGGGTCTCTGCAATCTGTGCGCGCCAGCAGCGGCGCTGGAGGCGCCGCCAGGGGGTTCAGCGCAGATCCCAGAAATCCGCGTTGAGCTCCGAAAGGTTTACGTTTATACCGTGTTCTCATCTTCGAGAGGATCGGGCGGGTGGTCATGGGGTGTGACATAAGCGGGGGGTGAAGAAAAGGACTTTTAAAGGGGCGCTGCAGGGCCCCTTTGGGAGCCAGTTGGTGCCCAAAGGGGCCCCCTTCAGGGCCAGGGCCATTTTTCTTGGCCCCCCATTTGAGTCACTTGCCACCCCGCCCGGGAGGAGAACTCGTCTTCCCCCTCTCCTGCGGGCAAGATTCATGTCCATATCCAGTGCCTCTTGGACGTTTTTTGGAAGCGGCGCCACAAGGCCGAGGCGCACTGGATATGGATAAAAATCGAGCCTCTAGGGGGCTAATTTATCCATATCCAGTGCGCCTCGGGTTTCTTGGGAAGGGAGCCCGAAACTCCATACTGCAGTAGATATGGACAGAAGTATTGCCCGCATCTCCCTCCTGGAGGAGGGCCGACCCCGGCGACCCGCGGCCCGTCCAGCTGCTGCAGGGCGCCGCTGGCGGCGGCGGGCTCCCCGGGCCGGGCCGCGCGGGCGGGACGTCCAGCCCGAGCGGCCCCGCAAGCTCGGCTTCGGGCGGCGACGGCCACCGTGGCGATGTGACGACCACGCCGACGACCAGGACAAGCACGAGCACGAGGGCCTTGACCACGAGGACGACGACCACGATGGCCACAACCACGGCCACGGCGGCGGCGACGGCGGCGATGCATCCCGACCAGGGCCACCACGGCCACCGCGACGGCCACCACGACCACGACCACCACGACGGTGCAGGAGGAATGGATTTTGAAGTTCTGGGGATCCGCTCTAGGCCTCCGGGGGGGGGGGAGCTCTCAACCGCGGCTGGGTCTGGCCTCGAAATTCTGGCCAGAACGCCTTCCAGAACAGGCTGGGGGCTTGGTGCACCCAGACCGTCTGCGGTTTCTCTCCACGTTTTGCCGCCCAGACGCCCATTCCGGGCCCCAGGAAAGCGCGGGGCGTCGTGAACGGGCGGGGTCCCTGACCTCCAGAGGACGTCCAGGTGAGGAGGAGGGGGGCGTCGTCGTCGGCGACGGCTCGGAAGCATCCCGCACTCGCCGCGCTCGGAGGAGGAGCAAGGAAGGGGATGAGGAGGAGAAGGAGGAGGAGGAGTGGGAGGCGGAGCAGGAGCAGGAGGAGGAGGAGGAGCAGGAGGAGGAGGAGGAGGAGGAGGAGGAGCGAGGAATGGGAGAGCGGGAGGAGAGGAGGAGGAGGAGGAGGAGGAGGAGGAGGAGGAGCGAGAAAGGGGAGGAGGAAGAGGAGGAGGAGGAGGAGGAGGAGGGAGTTGGAGGAGGAGGAGTTGGAGGAGGAAGAGGTGGAGGATGAGGGCCACTCTCCCGTCGAGCCCAGCCGAGCCTGGGGGGGGCGCTCCCAGCCTGGCGGAGAGAGGGCGCGGCTACCCGACGTCCCCGAGCCTGCACGAGGCGATGCGCTCGTTCTTCCCGCAGATCGACCAGGTCCGGGCGGGACCGCCCTCGCAGGGGTGCGCGGGACGGCGCCGCTCGCGTCGGGAGCGGAAAAGAGGGGGGTGATGACTAGGGGGGTGGATATCATGGCGTGGGCCATGATATCTCCCCAGATTTCATGGCGCCTCTTCTTATTTCGTTACGCCCCTGGCCCCCCCCGCTGGGCCGCGCACATGCCGCCGGTCATGTTTCGCACCTCCCCCTCTTATACACCCTCCTCTTGCCCGCTCCCGATCGCGCAGCGCTCGGTACAGCCAGCCCGCATGGTGAGGATAGGCCACCTTCCCAAGGGGTACCCCTTGCACTCTTGTCCTCTCGGCCCATCAGCGACTCTCGCTGGCCAGCCTCGTTCGAACAACGTCAGCGTGGGCCTCCGAGGCCCTTGCATCCTTACCGCGCATCCTTATGATACGGGTGCACTGTGCCCGATACGCCCTGGGCGCTTTGTCGCGTGTTCTATGTCGGGTTCAAGCAGACAGCTCTATGACACAGCGAGTTCTCAGTAGGGGACCCTGTCGAAACGAGACTGGGTCCGCCGATCGACCAGGCGGGCCTCGTCTCGACCCCTCCGACTTTGACTGGGTCCGATTTCCGTCGATTCCCATGTGGGCTCGAAGTCGGCTTCGGATTCCGATCGGGACCTCCTCTTCTCGATGGAGGCCATGCTCGCCTGCTGGTTTCCTCCGATTGGACTTCTCGCGACTCGGCTGACGATTTCCACCAATCCGATTTGTTTCGATCGCTGGTCCGGCTCGTCTATTCGATTCTGGGCTCTCCTGCCAGGTTGTGGACAACCCCGACGCGAAGGTGGGCTGCGACCACAAAAAGGAGGCCTCGCTGGAGATCGGAGAAAAACAAGAATGCATACGTAAAGGTGTTCGGAGCTCCGCACGGAGTTCTACGTGGGGTCGGCGCTAGGCCCCCATGGCGCGCTCCACGCACCGGGGAGGGGGGGTCCAGCGACGATCCGAGAAATCCGAGCGGTCCTCCACAAGTTTGTGCTTGCGCAGTTGTCTGCTCCTCTCCCCTCCTCCCTCCCTCTCTCCCTCTCTCTCTCTCTCCCCCCATCTCCTCTCTCTCTCCCTCCCCCTCTCCCTCTCCCTCCCCCTCTCCCTCTCTCCCTCTCCCCCTCTCTCTCTAGAGAGGGGCGCGTGGCACCGCGGGGGGAGGGGGCACGGTGCGGGGCGGGGCGTGCGCAGAGCCCCGGGGCTCCCCCGGAGACACCACGAGCCTGCGCGCGCGCCCCCCGCCGCCTGGAGGAGGCGTGCGCGCTCCGGATGGGCCGGGGAAACAAACACACACGCACACACACAAACAAACAAAAAAAAGAACAAGTGGGGCGTGGCCCCTCTGCGGGACAAATCTGCAGAAGCAGCTGAAACATAGTCCGGGGACGATCTTTTCAGCACTCTCTGTTCGGGCATGCTTTGGGGTATTGTTTTGATGTGTCGTCCAACATCCCCCTGTCGGAGGACATGCCCGACCTAAGACAAGAAGCAGGATGCCAAGGCACCGGGCATCAAGTGCAACGTGTGTAAATAGTGCCACAGGCTGCTGCTGGCAGTAGTAGGGTTCATCATCGCGGCGTGCAATGTGTTCAGAAACATTTCTGCACTCGGACGTCAAGGGGGGGGCAATAAACGTTCGGGGGGGCGGCCAAGAGGAGGGTGCTGACTAGGCAGGGTTGGAAACCGTGGCCAGAGCCAAAATCCCCCTCTTCTCCTCTTCCATGCGTCCCATGGTTCCCCCCTTCGGTTTGCAGTCGAAGCGTGCTTGGGGGGCCGCGAGCTTTGCTTTGGCCGCAGACTGCCTGCCTGCACTGCAGCTGGTCCGCTGTACTGGCCCGAAACAGAGGGGCTCTTGCCCTGTCGGGGAAACAGATGGTCCCCCGCTCGTCCGCACAACATGCCTCGGGCCACGATCTGCGAGCCCCCTCCTGGGCGCCCCCCACTTTTGGACGTCCCCCGCAGCATGGGGGGATCGAGGGTACTGTTAGGTCGGACATGTCCCTCTACGGTTGGAATATTCAAGCATTGTACAACAATGGCATGGGTATGTGGTTTCGATCATGTTTGGGTGTTTGGGGAGCATATTTTGATTTTTACTTTTCGTCCAAACTCCGCCTGCAGGGGGGCATGCCCGACCGAAGGGTGTTGCAGGGAAGGCTGCCCGAACGGGGCCCTGAGCGGCCACCAGACTGCCGCCGCGGGGCCCCAGCAGAAGGTGTCCCGAGACCGCACAACCTTTCCCTCGTTTTCGTATGTTTGGGGGGGCCTCCATGGAGGCCCTCCTCCTTCCTCCTCCTTCCTCCTCCTCCTCCTCCTCCTCCTCCTACTCCTCCTCCCCCTTCTACCTCCTCCTCCTTCTACCTCCTTCGTCGTCCTTCCTCCTCCTCCTCCTCCTCCTCCTTCCTCCTCCTCCTCCTCCTTCCTCCTCATCCTTCTTCCCTCCTTTTCTTTTTTTGGGGGGGCCTCCATGGAGGCCCTCGTCGCCACGGCTGGATTCGTCTCGGAATTCTGGCCGGCTCGCGCCCGGGGAGAGGGCCTCGGACAGGCGCCGTCAGCACGCAGGCGCGCGGTTCTTCACTCCACGTTGACTGCCCCCGCGGCCGTCGGGTTGCTTCCAGGTGGCCCTCTCCTCCTCCGCCTCATCTTTCTCTTCCTCTTCCTTCTCCTCCTCTTCCTGCTCGTCCTGCTCGCTCCTCCCCCTCCTCCTCTTCCTCCTCCCTCCTCCTCCTCCCCCTCCTCCTCTTCCTTCCTCCTCCTCGTCGTCCTCCTCCTCCTCATCCTCCTCCTCCTAATTACTCCTCCCCCCCGTGCACGAACGCCCGAATTGCGTGCCCCTGCTGAGGCCGAGCACAAGTATCCGGTCAAGCAGCAGGTGAGGAACTTGTCGAGCGGTGCGACGATGAAGGTAATCCTCGGCGACTGCAAATGGTGTGATTTTGCCTGCGTGTGGCTTGTGACCTGCGTCGTTTGTGTTTTGGGGGGCACCACGTTGCCCTCGTCGAGCCTCCTCGGGACGCGGCGGCGGAATCTGTCAAAGTCCTCACCCGCCTCACAGGGTGCGGGTTGCAAACCGCACCCTTTGCAATCCACACCACTCGGAGTCCCCGAAATCTGGCCCGGCTGCTTCGCCAGGCTGCGGAGGAATATCGACCTCGACACGGATTTCGCCAAGAGCATCCGAGATTTCAGGCTCGTGGGCGATCTGAGGGAGGAGTAGGAGGAGAAGGACGAGAAGAGGAGAGTGGAGGAGAGAGGAGGGAGGAGGAGGGAGCAGAGGAGGCTGAAGGAGGCGGAGAGGGAAATGAAGAGAAAGAGGATGGTAGGGGAAGAAAAAAAAGAGGGAGCAGCGGGGGTTGGGAAACGAGGAGGAAGTAGAGAAGAGGAGGAGGAGGCGGCGTGAGGAGGAAGGGGTGACACGCAAGGATGAGTGAGAGGAGGAGGAGGAGGAGGAGGAGGAGGAGGAGGAGGAGGAGGAGGAGGAGGAGAAGGAGGAGGAGGAGGAGAAGGAGGCGGAGGAGAAGGAGGAGGAGGAGGAGGAGGGGGAGGGGGAGGAGAGGGAGGAGGAGGAGGAGGAGGAGGAGGAGGAGGAGGAGGAGTAGGAGGAGGAAGGAGAGGCAGGGGACGAGCGCCTGTGTAAAACCAATTCGCATGAATAATGCTTCAACAAGCCCTCACTTCAAGTGCCTGATTCACAGGTCCCTACACCCCGTTGTGAGACAGCCGTCTGAAAAATTTGAACCGTGCCAAAACATCATTCGTTTGATTCCAACGCCGCGATCGAGTGATCCTGTCAACCCCGATTCGCACCAGAACGCCATACCTGGGACTTCAACACCTCGAATTCGCCTGACTGTTGCGCCCCGACTGTCCTACATCGTGCCAGAACACCATTTCTGGGACGTCATCCATAAGAAGTCTTGAACCTACTGTAAACTCTTAAGACGAAGTTGTGCGGCGCGAAGGCAAGCAAGAGCCACATTTTGAAAACGACGCGCGCTCCATCCGTGAGACTGTCTGCAAAGTTTTAGGCCGAATGCGCGCAGTCCTAAGGCCAGAATGACCTGCTGTTAACGTCCCGCCATCCATCCGTGAAACTGTTTGTAAAGTTTCAAGAATGATGTACGCAGTGCTCAGGCGAGAGTCACATCCTGGAAACGACCCGCCATCCATCCGTGAAACGCGTACAATATCTTAAAAGACGAATGTGCGCGGCGCTCAGGCAAGAGCCACATCCTGAAAACGTGCCGCCCTCCATCGATGAATTTGCTGCACTTGCAGACTTAAGATTTGCACATGGTGAGAATGTCTCAGGCAAAACGCCCGGCCGGCCCTACCGACACGTCGGGGGGAAGGAGTCATTTGGGATGAAGGAGGGCGGCTCAGAGCAAACCCGAGATGCATCAGCGATGCTGCTATGCACACGTCCCCAGCACCCTCTTCATCTTGGCATTGCTCGGGCGTGTGCACTTGTTCTCGGCGAGAACCATCGAGGAGCATCTTTTTTGCGAAAAAACACGCGCGACATCGAACAATGCGCGGGGAATGAACGTCCGAGCGATGACGAGCCATAAAAGCCCCCAGAAGCCTTCCCTGCCTCCTGAAGAGGCGCCCCCCTTGAAAGACCGGCACCCTGCCGGCCAGCCATTCGGGCGAGAGCGTTGCTCTGAGAAGCAGCGGCATTGCATTGGAGGGTTTCTCCGAAAGGGCTTAGGCGACCCCTCCTCCTCCTCTTCCTCATCAACAGGCGGGTAGCCTCCCGATAGTCACCCCAGGTGCTCCTTCGGGACCGTGGGGGGGAGAAAAAAGGTAGTCGTAGGCCGTCCCAGCCTGCGCCACGGGGGAAGCGTCGTGCCTGAAACCTCGGGGCTGTTCCCGTCTCGCCCGTGCGGCGGGCGGGGATAGTCCAAGGTTCCAGTGCACGGCTTTTCCTGCCGTGTTCCCGCGCCTGGGTTGTAGGTTAATGCCACGTTTGCTGCGACACCCTTGCGGTGGCCCACCTGGTACTCCGGCGGTGTCGCGGGCCCCCTGCGCGGGGGAGGCTCATTGGAGGATACCCGCCCATTCCTCCCACGGTCACGGTCCCCCGCCGTGGCGTGCGTGGAGGCGGGTTGTCCCCGAGGGAGTGGTCCCCCTCGGGTGGCTTATTGCGGCGGCACGACCGAACGCAGCGTGTCGTTACGCGAGGCCTCGAAATCGTTAGGACGCTGTTAGGTGCGCGGTGCGCTACGTTCTTTTTGCTTCTGCCGCCTCGCACACTGGCCGCGCGCATCGGCTCTAGACGCCTGCAGCCCCTGTTCTCTTCGAGCCCGTGGGCCAGCTCGTGGTCCAGTGTCCGGGCTCGTGCGCATGGCGGGGCCGCCGCGCTGCGCCTGTGGGCGCGCGCCGCGTCAGCCCCCGACTGCGCCGCGCATTATGCGCGCCGCTTCGCCCGCGGCGTTCGCGGGCGGCGGAGGGCGGCGGGAGGTCCTGTCCGCTTTTCGGTGTGTCCATTCCACTCCTCCTCCTCCTCCTCCTCCTCCTCCTCCTCCTCCTCCTCCATCTCCTCTTCCCCCTCCCCCTCCCCACCCCCACCTCCTCCTCCTCCTCCTCCTAATCCTCCTAATCCTACTCCTACTACTACTCCTACTCCTACTCCTATTCATAACCCCCCTCTCCTCCTCCTCCTCCTCCTCCCTCCTCCTCCTCCTCTCTCCTCCTCCTCCTCCTCCTCCTCCTCCTCCTCCTCCTCTCCTTCCTCCTCCTCCTCTCCTCTTCGTCCTCCCCTCCTACTCCTCCCTCCTCCTCCTCCTCCTCCTCCTCCTCCTCCTCCTCCTCCTCCTCCTCCTCCTCCTCCTCCTCCTCCTCCTCCTCCTCCTCCTCTTCCTCGGGTCGCCTACGGCCCTGCTTTGAGAAGCAGCGGCCTTGCACCCTTCTTTTGAGTACCCATCGGTCGTTGAAAGTAGGTATGTTTGGACTCCCAGATCCCAAGCTGTTGTGAGCGCATTCCTACTTCAATGACCGAGTGGCTTCACCTTTGCTCCGTCTTCTTTATTTAGGGGGCGGCGGACATCCAATGTATGTTCAACGCCTTCCTACCTCATGTTTCTACGTACCTTTCAGTCGGTGGGTCATGAGGTATGTCCTTAAGTACAGTTCAACTGTGTCATTCGCATACTCCACCTCTCGCGTAACGATCTGCTGGCCCTCGCGGATAGACCTCCAGTGGCTTGTGGCGACCGGGACAGCGACGACGACAACGACGACAGCAAGGCGGCGACGGTAGCGACAGCAGCGAAGGCGGCGATAACAAGGCCCATCGACGATGCACTGGGTTGGCGGACCACCGCCACTTTCCAAGATCTGGGCGAGCACTTCATGAGCGCCGACGGCCGGTTCTACATGCAGGAGGCCTCCGCGAAGGCGGCGGTTTGGCGGTTTCGGGCGTTCCTCGGAGAGAGGATGTAGGATGAAGAGGAGGAAGAGGAGACGAAGGATGAGTTCCGCTCCCGAGCGCGGAAAGGAGGACGAGGAACATGAAGAAGAGCAGGAGGGGTGGTCCTCGTCTTCGTTTTCCTCGCCCTCCTCCTGCTTCTCCTCCTCGTCCTCCTCCTCCGCCCTCGTCCTCATTCTCGTTCTTGTCCTGGTCGTCCTCCTCCTCGGCCGCCGCCGCCTCCTCCTCCTCGTTCTCATCCTCCGTTCTGCGTTGGGCGGACTTCGGCAACGAAGCTGAATCGTTATGCCCCCTTTCTCCTCCTCCTCCTCCTCCTCCTCCTCCTCCTCCTCGCTTTCCTCCTGCGGGAGAGGGACGGAGGGACTGAGGCGTGCCGTTCCGCTCCCTCGCCTGGGCGGGAGCGCACACGACTCTCAAGAAAGGAACGGGGGGAGGCGAGCGAGGGAGGGGGAATGGGGAGGGAGCACGGAAGAGGGAGCGAGGATGGGCACGAGGAGGGAGGCGGGATGGCCCTGAGATCTGGGCATGACTTTTGTTCATCACCATCCTGTGGTGTTGGGCTATCGTTCTGAGGAGGCGGCGCCCCGCGTTCCTCACTTCCTCCTCCCCCTCCTTCTCTGCTTGTGCTTCTCGCGTGTCAACCAGCGCGGCACACACCTCACACTTGTCGTTGCCAGTGTAGGGGGCTCGCCCGAAGGCCCCGGTGGCACAGTCCGCATGGCGCACCCGCACATCCGGCTCACCCCTCACACGCTGCGTGGCCAAAACACAGAGCTCCGCCGAAGGTTCATGCGGCACAGTCCGCATGGTGTACCCGCATCCGATTCGGCACACCCCTTCGACGGTTCGTGGCGCCAGAGGGAGCTTCTTCGAAGGCCCCAGTGGCACAGTCCGCATGGCGCACCCGCACCCGATTCGGCACACCCCTCACACGTTTCGAGATCCCACAAAGTGGTCCACCGAAGGCCCCAGCGGGTCCGTCCGTATGGCGTACCCGCGCCCAACCCGGCACACTCATCACACGTTTCGTGGCCCTAGAGGGGCTCCACCGAAAGCGCGGGTGGCAATCTGTATGGCGCACCCGCGCCCAATTCGGCACACCATACGTTGCGTGGCACCGAAGGGAGCTTCACCAAAGGCCCCAGTGGCACAGTCCGCATGGCGTACCCGCATCTGATTCGACACGCCACCCACACGCTTCGAGGCCCCACAGAGAGCTCCACCGAAGGCCCCAGCAGCAGGGTCCGCATGGCGTACCCGCATCCCAGTCGGCTCACCCCTCACACGTGCCGTGGCCCCATAGGGAGCTCCATCGAAGGCCCGAGTGGCAGGGTCCACATGGCACCCCTCCCCCCTCCTCCTTCTCACTTGCCTCGCATTGCCCACAGCTTCATGTGGTTGGGCCCTTCGCCAGCATAATTTGTTCGAGACGTTGGGCTTGAGTGGAGGGGGAGGACGGAAGGAAGGAGTGGAAGGAGGAGGAGCGGCAGGGAAGGAGGGGAAGTGGTCATTTGGCGTCTCTGCTGTGCCACGAAGCGACATGCTGATGACAAGCACCCCCGCTCGACCCTGGAGGTCGGCTGGTGGACATAGAGCTCATCTGGAACGTGGCACACCGCTGGTCGCCCAGCGGTTGGCAAGCCCCCGGGAGTAAAGCCAGCCACGCGCCCTCAAACATGACGAGGCAGGTCCTTCGGGACCTCGCCGGCCGGGTACGGGGAGGCCTGGCACGTCTGCGCGTGCTCGTGTTCCAGATCTGCACGACAGAGGTCACGCGGAAGTCGGCGGCACTTTGCGAATGTTTCGTCGTGTCGGGTCTGGTTTTGGTGGTGTTGGGCAGAGCAGCCGTGCTGGGCCGCCTCTGGTGCCTGCTCCTGCACTGCGCGCGGCGCGGCCACGGCACCCCCCCTCGGTCGTGCCCGCGTGCCCAGGGAGGGGAGGAGAGGGAGGACGATGGAGTGAGGAGAAGGACCAGGGGAGGTGGAGGGAGGGAGGGAGGGGGAGGAGCGAACAAGCGAGGACGGGGACGGGGAGGGGCAGAGGGAGGCCAGCGAAGGCGCTGACGCTCCTCCAGGGCCCCACCTTCATATTCAGCTACATGAAGCACCTCGACGACAACCCCTCCACTCTCCTGCCCCACCTGGTGTTCGCTGTGCTGTTTGAGTGGCAGGGCTGGCAGTCGACGGGGACGCGCGGGCTCCTCATCACAGAGAGCTCCGGGCGAGGCTTCCGCACCGGCGAGGACGCGTTGCACGGGGCCTCGAGTTTCCGAGGGGAATGGCAAGAGTGACGATGTAGCCCGCGTCGGGGACCAGTTACACATCTGTTTATACATCTGTGTATATATATAGACCTTACATACATGTACACCTTCATAAAACAAAGGTAACGCCCTTATACATATGTATACATACGTGTCAATGTATATCTATGTGTGTGAATGTATATGTGTGTTTGTATGTGTGCATGCATGTATGTATGCATGTATGTATGTATGTATGTATGTATGTATGTATGTGTAGGTATGCATGCATGCATCTATGTATACATGTTTGTGTGCATGCATGGATGTGTGTATGTATGTATGTATGGATGTATGCATGCATGTATGTATGTATGTATGCACGTGTGTATGTATGTGTGCATGTATGCATGTGTGTATATGTACACATACACATACATATGTACGCAAGCAATTGCACACACACACACATATGCATGAAGGGATCGGCTCGGTTCGGTTCGGTCCGGTTCTGCAGCCGGGTCGGTTTTGCTTGGCCGGTTCGGTTTGGCATCGGTCCGGTTTCGGCCGGTTCGGCTTGGGCCTGCCGCCGGTTCGGTTCGGTTCCGGTTTTCGCGCGGTTGGGTCCGACCGGTTCGGTTCGGTTCGAGTGGCCGCTCCGGTTCGGTTCGGCCCGACTGGTCAGGTGCGACGTTGGGCGCCCCGTCTGCGTAAGCGACGACCCAGTTTGAAAAAAAGGGAGGAGGAGGAGGAGGAGGAGGAGGAGGAGGAGGAGGAGAGGAGGAGGAGGAGGAGGAGGGAGGAGGCGGAGGCGGAGGCGGAGGAGGGAGGAGGAGGACGACGAGGAGGAGAAGGAGGAGGAGGAGCAGGAGGAGAAACGTGGAGGCGTGGAGGCGCGAGGCCCTCCAGCGACGTGCCCCGACGGGGGTCGCAGCCCCGAGGGGGGTCGCAGCCCCGAGGGGGGTCGCAGCCCCGAGGGGGGTCGCGCCCGCGAGGGGGGTTGCACCCGCCAGGGGGGTTGCACCCGCCAGGGGGGTTGCACCCGCCAGGGGGGTCGCGCCCGCCAGGGGGGTTGCACCCGCCAGGGGGGTTGCACCCGCCAGGGGGGTTGCACCCGCCAGGGGGGTGGCACCCGCCAGGGGGGCACCCGCCAGGGGGGTGGCACCCGCCAGGGGGGTGGCACCCGCCAGGGGGGTGGCGCCCGCCAGGGGGGTGCACCCGCCAGGGGGTGGCACCGCCAGGGGGGTGGCACCCGCCAGGGGGGTGGCACCCGCCAGGGGGGGCACCCGCCAGGGGGTGTGGCACCCGGGGGGTGGCACCCGCCAGGGGGGTTGCACCCGCCAGGGGGGTTGCACCCGCCAGGGGGGTTGCACCCGCCAGGGGGGGTGCACCCGCCAGGGGGGTGGCACCCGCCAGGGGGGTGGCACCCGCCAGGGGGGTGGCACCCGCCAGGGGGGTGGCACCCGCCAGGGGGGTGGCACCCGCCAGGGGGGTGGCACCCGCCAGGGGGGTGGCACCCGCCAGGGGGGTGGCACCCGCCAGGGGGGTGGCACCCGCCAGGGGGGTGGCACCCGCCAGGGGGGTGGCACCCGCCAGGGGGTGGCACCCGCCAGGGGTGGGCACCCGCCAGGGGGGTGGCACCCGCCAGGGGGGTGGCGCCAGGGGGGTGGCGCCCGCCAGGGGGGTGGCACCCGCCAGGGGGGTGGCACCCGCCAGGGGGGTGGCACCCGCCAGGGGGGGGCACCCGCCAGGGGGGTGGCACCCGCCAGGGGGGTGGCACCCGCCAGGGGGGTGGGGGTGCCCGCCACCCCGCCAGGGGGGTGCGCCCGCCAGGGGGGTGCACCCGCCAGGGGGGTTGCACCCGCCAGGGGGGTTGCGCCCGCCAGGGGGGTTGCGCCCGCCAGGGGGGTTGCACCCGCCAGGGGGGTTGCGCCCGCCAGGGGGGTTGCGCCCGCCAGGGGGGTTGCACCCGCCAGGGGGGTTGCACCCGCCAGGGGGGTTGCGCCCGCCAGGGGGGTTGCACCCGCCAGGGGGGTTGCACCCGCCAGGGGGGTTGCACCCGCCAGGGGGGTTGCGCCCGCCAGGGGGGTTGCACCCGCCAGGGGGGTTGCGCCCGCCAGGGGGGCCCGCCAGGGGGGTTGCACCCGCCAGGGGGGTGCACCCGCCAGGGGGGTGCACCCGCCAGGGGGGTTGCACCCGCCAGGGGGGTTGCGCCCGCCAGGGGGGTTGCACCCGCCAGGGGGTCGCGCCCGCCAGGGGGGTCGCGCCCGCCAGGGGGCTCGCACCCGCCAGGGGGGTCGAAGTCGCTGTCGCTGTCGCCGCCGCCGCCGCCCGCCGTCGTCGCCGCCGTCGCCGTCGCGGGTCGCCAGGGGGGTCGCCAGGGGGGCTGCCAGGAGGGTCGCCAGGGGCCCCCCCGGGGCTCCCCCGCGGCCCCCCGACGACGACGGCGACGACGACGACGACGACGGACGCTTGCCGACGCCCGCGCCCGCCGACGCGCCGCCGTCGAGGAGGAGGAGGAAGCGGAGGAGGAGGAGGAGGAGGAGGAGGAGGAGGAGGAGGAGGAGGAGGAGGAGGAGGAGAGGAGGAAGAGGAGGAGGGGTCGCGGGAATCTTCGGGAGGTTCTGGGGTCATCGGGGTCCCGGAGTCCTGGGGGTCATCGGGGTCCTGGGGTCCGGACCAGAGGGGAAAGGGGTTCGGTTCGGTTCCCGTCGGTTCGGTTCAGGGGCCGCCCGGTTCCGGTTCGGTTCCGGTTCTGGTTCGGTTCGGTCGTCGCCGGTTCGGTTCTGAATGAATTCGGTTCGGTCCGGTTCGGTTTTCTACGTTCCTGGTTTTGGACCGGTTCGGTCCGGTTCGGTCACGGTTCCCGGTTCTCGGTTCGGTGCGGTCCCTTCATGCATATGTGTATGCTCGTCCTCCCCCAAAGATCTACATTGTGCGTGCCCTGTTCCAGTCTTCCTTTCCTCTTCCTCCTCTTCTCTCATCTTTTTTTTGCGTCCCCATTGTGCTCCGTCACCCAGGGGCGAAATGCTCCAGTCAGATACAGGGCGAAATGCTCCAAGGGGCGAAATGCTCCAGATCGCGTAGGGGCGAAATGCTCCAGCCAGAGACGGGGCGAAATGCTCCACGGGGCGAAATGCTGCAGATCACGGAAGGGCGAAGTGCTCCAGCCTAGGACGGGGCGAAATGCTCCAAGGGGCGAAATGCTCCAGAAAACGTAGGGGCGAAATGCTCCAGAATACGTAGGGGCGAAATTCTCCAGATCACGTAGGAGCGAAATGCTCCAGCTCTGTGTTGCATTGCGTTGGATTGTATTCGCAGTGCTGCAAACTCTAATGCTTTCCATCCAGATACACTGCCTTCTCGTCCCTCCCTTCCTCATGTACCGCATCCGCCTGCTTCTCCTCCTCCTCCTTCCTCCTCCTCCTCTGCCTCCTCCCTCTCCTCCTCACTATCCTCCTTCTCCTCCTCCTCCTCCTTCTCCTCCTCCTCCTCCTCCTCCTATTCCTCCTCCTCCTCCTCCTCCTCCTCCTCCTCCTCCCCCTGCACAATTACACGATATGAAAGTACTCTCCCACTTCCCCTGATGGCGTCCCGAAGATATCCGACACCCCCCCGCGTATTGTTTTTTACACGCAGGATTCCCGGGAAACGGGTTTTCGCCTGCGCTTTTTTTCTCAAAATGCTGCTCTCGCTGAGGCGCCGGCCCCATTTCTGCTCCCGAATCGTTCCGTATCGTGCTCCCGCTGCAGCCTGGGCCTCATTTTCGGATCGGCGTTTGGCTTCCGTCGTTCAGGATGGCGTTCTCGCCCCAGCGCGGGCCGCTTTCTCGCGCGCCCATCCGCCCGCCACCACCGCGCCGCACCACCACCACCACCGCCGCCACCACCACCACCACCTCCAGCACCACAACCACCACCACCACCACCACCACCACCACCACCACCACCACCACCACCACCACCACCACAACCACGCACACACGCACGCACGCACGCACGCACGCGCACCGCACCACCACCCACTACGCACGCGCGCGCGGAGCCACAGGTCCGCTACGACACGCGTCCGCGGATAGAGAAAATCAGCGCCATGGTAAGGAATGGGACGGAGGGGTAGGACGTCAGATATGACGCGAGCGCACCTAGCTTGTCCTTCTCCCCCTCCTCCCCTTCTCCTTTTCTTCCTCCTCCCCCCTCTTCCTCCTCCTCCTCCGCCTCCTCCTCCTCCTCCTCCTCCTCCTCCTCATCCTCCTCTTCCTCTCCCATCTTCCCCTCTCCCCTTCCCCCCTAACCCTCCCCCACTTTCCACGCCAGCCTTTACTGTTGTTGCAGCGTGTTCTGGCCCGTGCCTGCTTCGACGCAGAACTCGCGGCGCAGCTTCCACGAACGCTCGCGGCAGCAATGCCGATGATGCTCCGCCTCGCCTCCTGGCGCGCCGCCAAGGCGCAGCACCCGCTTCTCAACAAACCCAACGCCGACATGACGGCGGCTGCGGGTAGTTGGGGCATCGTGCGCGACGGGGCAAGCGGAGTCGCGCCCCGCGTCAACCCTGAGGACCTCTCTTGGGACCTCCGGAACTGCTTCCGCTTTTTGCTCTTGCTCCGCCAGCGGTTCCACTGGGCTGGCGACAAACAAGAGTTCGACGCCCAGGCGGTCCGCGAGGTCGGCGGCGACGCGCGGAGCATGGCCACGGACGCTCCTGCGGCGTGGACGGCGAGGCTCGCGCAAACACGAACGATACATTTGTTCGGGAAGGCGTGCAGCCGTTTGGGGTGTATCCAGATCGCCTGGGGGGGAACAAAAAGCACGCGTCAGACTTCGCGTAGATGTTGCGCGCGTTGCGACGATGAGCATAGCATGCGTGGGGCACCCGTGCGTCCTTGCCTCTGCGGTTCACTGTTAGCCAGCCATAACATCGAAAGCCGACAAGTGGGTGTCCACGGGGATTGCATCATTGCCGCGCTGTAGACACCAACGCAACGCATTCCACATTCTTCCTGT